CAGAGGTTTTCAAACGATAAAATATTAATTTGAGTAAAATTAATCAACCTTGATCCCAGAAATGATCCAAACAAGAATGTACTTACATATCCACCACATAATGGTGTCTCTGACTCAAGACATGATTGAGATGATGGAAAACTCAAGATGCTGGAAGAGGAAAAGGTTAGAGATGATAATGAAAGGAAAAAGGGATTCAGAACAACCTCTTAGGAATCATCATGCCGACAATTTAACAATCTATCAGTACAATCACAAATATAGCTTCGAGAACTCTAGGACTGCAATGGTAAAACATGTTGACCAGATCATTTTCTGCCACAATTCCTTCTATTTAAATCACAATAGGGAGATGAAAAATGTTGAATGTTATACGAATGAAACTGAAAGGGACTGCAAGAGATTGGTTTGATCAGAAAAGAGAAGAAGTTGGTTGGCTAAGCTTTGAGTTTTAAGAATGTAATTTTTGGGTCCATTTGCACCCAAAAAATTTTTGAAACAGATAAAACCTATGAAAGGCTAATCAAAGGCTTTGAAATAGGAAAACATGCAGAGTTAGTTGCCGAAGTATATTTGATGCGAAACAAACCTGAGATGTCAAAAGAGAATATTCTTCATTTATTAATGAGAAATCAAACATTTCAAATTGTAGAAAAGATATAACCCAGCTTTACAACAGACAGAAATCCTCAAATTACTGTTAGAATTGGGCTCGAATTCTCAAAAAAAAAATAAAAATTTCATCAACAACTTACATGAAGAAATGGCTCAAAATAAAATTGTTTAACCCTAAAGAGATGATAGGCAAACGAATTGATCAGACAGGAAAGAGGGTCTTCAAATTCAGATGTCACAGATGCTCAGAAAAGGGGCATATTCGTAAAGATTTCCCAAAAGAAATCAGGATAGCTGCCTCGAAAGATTCAAGCGTTGAATCTCTGACAGTGAAGGTAAGCCAACTGGTAGCAGATTGAAGACCATACTTCTATTGAAATATTGCAAACAATGTGCTGAAAATTTTGTTAGACTCAGGTGCTACAAGCAATTTTGGATCAACGAAAAAAAGGCCTGAAAGGGGTATTACGAAAAAGAAATGTTGAGAAAAATATTACATAAAAATATTAGAAAAAAATATAAAATAAAAAAAATAAAAAAAATGCAATATTATGAAAAAATAAAAAAAAAATAAAAAGAATGTAATACAGTCGTCCCTCGATATAATGAAGAAGAAGCTATTTTTACTTAAACTACATTTTTTAAAAGGTTTAATTGTTGGTTTCTTTTTTGTAACCTATTTTTAATTTTTTTTTTCTTCTCAGAATATAAAATCTCAATGTTTTTTATCATTTCCCTCCACTTTTTATAGTAAATAATGAAATGTTTTTTAAATTTTTTATATCACAAAATTTATTCTATTAATAAAAATGATTAAACTATTGAGGTGGTCGAGAATATTTATATCGATAGATAATTTATGATGTGCTGTATGGAAATTCTGATAAAAACCCTTTTCTTGATATGCTTGCAAAGAACAATAATTAGATGATTTGATGTTACCAAATTCAGTGATTTATATTTTTATCTACAAAAAATGGAACTATGGTTCATAGAAAATGCTAGTTCTGATAGGAGCAAGTTTTTTGAATTGAAAAACAATTTACTTGACATGAAAAATGCTAACAGAGGAAACATCACTAGTTATATGCACAGTAAGAATAAATATGGGCCATAAAAATGAAAATAATTACTGATTGTTTTTTTTTGGATTTCATTATTTTCCAATAATGAATTTTTTTTCAGCTGGCCCCTTTTTTCATTAATGGAAGTGTTGACTGTATTATGAAAAAGTTAAGAATTACATAAGTTTTAATATAAGTAAATTATAATGAAAGTTTTTATATTAGCAGAAAATAACTGTGAATTAATAGAAAAAGCGGAATATTGTAAAAAGAAAATAGATACAAATAAATTTATTTTCTCAATATTCAAAATTTGAAATTAAATCAAGTATTGCATTAAATAGATCTCCTCTGTTATTCTCTTTAAGCATTATTTCAAATAAATATTCTCTCAATTTTTCTCTTTTGATACCTTTCATCTGTTTTATTCGTTGTTTTGTAAAACATATTTTTCTCAGGCCTTTTTTTTCGTAATATTTCAACCCTGTAGAAAAATGAGTTCTTTTATTAATTATGTTAAAAAATAACAAATTCAAAGAATGAAGAAATCATTTCACATTTTAGAGCTCATGGTTTTATCAGAAAACATATGATTTGCCATCGTGCAATCATGCTTTAGTAGAAAACCCAGTCAAACGTAATACTGATGGTTTGATGTTCAGGCTTTTGTTTAAATCATGTGAGAAATATCAACTATATTTCTCCATTTGAATAGGTTCTTTTTTTGAGAAATTGAAATTGAAATTCAATCTATAAACAATTTTTACAATTATTTACTGATATTCTAAAATGAGTTAGTAAAAATAACATCACAAGAATTGGGTGTTTCACATCCAACTGTGACAAAAATGGAATCTGAATGCCACCATCCTTGTGTTAAACAAATCGGTGGATGATATCCATTTCTGTGCCCAATCTGCACAGAATTTCCAATTCTTTTATATTCTTTGACAAATTTGAATTTCTTGAATGTCCTGGTGTCCACAATCTTGATCCTTGACTGTTGAAACATTTTCCAAAGTTAGCATGAATAGAAACTTATGAATTATGTCATTCATTACATGATTCATATGATACATTCTTTACAACATTTATTACTTACTTGTATCACAAACTTATTAAATCATTTCATTTAAATTTTATTTGGGATATTTTCTGGTTTTTTCTCTCACATGTTCTAGTTAACAGATAGGCCTGTAAAAAAAGTATTGACAAAAATTTTTTCATGAAATAGTAATGGCTTTTAATAATCCAGATTGTGAGGCACCAAGGGACAGAGATATAAAAGTGTATCCTAAAGGAAGCAATTTTGTAAGAATATAGATTTGCACATAACAATAAAACAGTAAAATGTAAAAAAATTACCACTCCATTATTTTAAAGTTAAAAGCATTTATTTTTTTCCCTTATCAAAATTTTATATGAAATTAAACAAATTTCTTATTCAGTTTTTACTGACTAACTTTGACAAATGTTTCAAAAACAAAAACTAAATTATTTGAAAACATTATAGTTTAATCAATTGACAAAAGATAACTAATTGGTAGCTTATCTACATGATTTTCAAGCAAAATTGATTTTAAACTTAAAACAGCATAAATATTTAAGATAGTCTTTAAAATGTTATCTCTTACAGTTGAAGAGAATTGCAGATGTTCTTGTTCATCCAAATCATCAATTATTTCATTTAGGATGTCCCTGATGGAACTTAGGGAGTAGCAGTATTGGTGTATAAATTCATCATAAATTTCAGTAATCATAAGCTTGTGAATATCATAGTAGTCTATTAATTGAGGTAATAAAGAATTTACCTCCTGTATTAAGTCAGTGATAACTGATTCAAAAGAAGACATCTGTGGAAAAAATATAATTTATAATATCATTTCAGTCAGATTAATTATTACTTAACTATAACTGTGTGTTTCACTTGTTAATGTGATCCTATCAGTCCAAAATTTCCACTTGATATAAAGTCAGTTTAAGAGTGTATTGCACTTTTATACATAATAAATTTTTTTCTAAACAGAATAACTATTAAAGTAAAATTTATAAAAGTTTATAAGTTTAGTTTGAATTTTTCACAATTAAAAATCATTTAACTTATAAATAACTCTATAATAATCTAAATTTTCCCACAACAAATAATATTCACTAAATTTCAGCAAAAAATTATCAAGAAATGTTGCTAACAACAAAGCAGATTGTACTCTTGATATAAAAAGGATATTTATTATGTTTTTATTATTTTAACTGTCAAAATGTCTATTTTTTTTCCTGATCAATATATTTTAGGAAACTTTACATATTCTAATTTCAATTTTTACTTGGGAAGTTTTTAGCATATATTTTCAAAAAACAAAAACTAAAATATTTGTAAACATTTAAGCTTCATCAATTGTAAAAAAGTAATCAACTGGCAACTTGTCTACTTGATTTGCAAGCAAAATTGACTTTAAACCTAAAACTGCATTAATGTTCAGAATAGTCTTTAGCATGTTATCCTTGATAGTTGTTGAAAATTGCAGTTGTTCTTCTTCCAATTCATCAATTATTACACTTAAGATGTCCCTGATTGAACTTAGAAAGAAGCAATATTGATGGATAAATTCATCATAAATCTCAGTAATCATGAGCTTGTGAATGTCATAATATTCTATCAATTCAGGCAATAAATGATTTACTTCTTGTATTAAATTAGTGATAGCTGATTGTAAAGAAGGCATCTGTTGAAAAAATATTGTTAATAAAATTACATCAGCAACTTTAATTATTACTTAACTGTAATGATGTTATTCACTTCTCTCAGTGATCCTAAGAGTCCAAAATCTCAATTGAATATAAAGTCTATGGAAGAATACATTTTACTTTATATAAAATGAATTATTTTTCTTTCTAACTGATAGATATTTTTATAAAATAAAAGTAAAGTTTTCAAGCTTGGTTTAAATTTTTCACTAAATGTTAAAATTGAAAATATTTAACTGATTAAAAAAGAACAAAATATATTGCTTTGTAAACTCTTAAACTAATTTTAACATATTCAAGATTTTCAACAAAAAAGAAATAAAATTCATGTGGGAAAGTGTATATGGAATAATCTCATTATACCAGATTACATTACCTAACATATCAGTGTTATATAATTCCTATAAAACATTTAAATTCAATCTAAAATTTTCATTTTGTGTTTGTAAGTTGATTATCTCACATCAATACATTTCACCATTTTAAAGAAGCAATTGAAAATTAAAGGATATCTGTGGTATCTATTTATTGTTACTCTTATATATAAATTATTGAATATTTTAATATTGTAGTCAATATGAACATAAACCAGCAAGCTTACTTTTCAAAAGTAAGACCTTGGGTATTCCCAAATATGTTTGAAAAGAGGAGCATTGACATATCTCCAGAAAGAAATGATGAATTTGTGAAACAATTGACAAACCAACTTAACTTCATTGCAGGATTCATTTCAAAACAAAAGAAATCATATAATGAAATTGTTGATTTAAAGGCTGGTCTCTTTTTTAAAGATCGAGAAATGTTTACAAAAGAGGCAGAAGAGGAATGCAAAAAGAAATATGCAACATTTCAACAATCTTTACTTGACATCTATCAACAACAATGTGAAATGTTTCTTGATCTCAACAATTATGATAACCTGTTTATCTTTAAGAGATATGTCAATGATAGACAATTAAAGAAAGCTTTAAGTACTATAAAGAAGGAATACAGCTCTGAGGAAAATTTCAACAATTTTCAAGAAAAGGTTATAGAATTTTTTTCAGAGGCTAATTCTTCTGCTTCTAATTCTCAAGAAGAAAATAAAATAAATAAAAATATTGAAGAAACAGAAACAGAGGAAACTGATATACATAAGACTCTTGATAATCTACATTGTCCTGAAATAATTGAAAAGCAAAATGATAAAGAAAATACAACAGAAATAACTAATAATGACCAGTCAAACCAAGAAGCTACAATAGAAGAGTATGTTGAAATTGAACAAGAAGATCATAGCAATAATGAGGAAATTGTAACAATTGTACCAATAAAGCATATTTCAAATGTTAGAAAGGAAGAAATACAAAAAATATTACAAGTAACTGATCATTCAAGAAAGTTTACAAACACTCAAGTTCTAAATAGAAATTATTACAACAGAGATTTGAAACTTTCTGAAATGTTTTCTAAAATTGGATTCAATTTTAAAACAGAAACTGAAGCAAAAAATCATGCAAAGCTTCTCAAACCAATAAAAGAAATAAATTCTGACATTATGATTTTGGGAAATAGCTCATTTAGAGATGTCAATATTAAAAATTTATGCTCTTTAAAACTATTAAATGATTTAGAGAACTACAGTTTAACAGTTGTTAACATCAGTAAATTGTTAGCAATAGATTTGGAAGAAATTGTTGGAAAATGGAACTTGGATTTTAAAATTCTTATTCTTCATGTAAACCTAAATGGAGTTGAAGTTGATAGTTTTTTAAATTTAGTAAATGGAAAATTTACTGATTCCAAAAAAATCATATGCTCAATTCCTTACACAAATAGAGAACATATACCAAAACCAGAGGAATTTACAAAATTGCAGCAATTTGGTTTGAAAATATTGGATCTGACAAACTTGGAATCTTTGGGATATAAAGAAAATCCTACAGGAAAGTCAAAAGGGAAGCATTTAACAAAAACTGCACAGGAATTTTGTATCAATTTATGCCTAAAATGCTGTTCTGAAAGCTTAAATGGAAACCAGGTAGAAAATTTCTCTATTTACAACTTCAATAGCAATAAGTACATTGTTAATTTAAGTAAATATGAAATTCCCAGAGATGTTGAGGAATTCTTAAATTTAGGTTTAAAGTTTACTTTTCACCAACAAAGTAAAAGCAATTGGCAAAAAATATCTACATTAAATTTAGAGGAATTTTTTAAAAGGTTGATTTTCGTTGATAAACATATTGAAGGTGAAAGTGAACCTTTAGTAAAAGATTGGAGACCAAAGAAACAAAAATCAGAATTAACACAATCATTTTCAGACATTTTTTTAGATGACTGTATAAAAGATTTTAAAATTGATTGTAAAAGGTATTTGAAACAATTTCAATTCAATAACATCAACAACCCTAAAAATAATAAAAACTTTAAACTCAACAATCAGACACTAATGGAAAGTTTAAAATCATTTTTCTCATTAGACATTATAATAAAATCTTCTGACAAAGGATCATGCCTTGTTATTCAGAATAGAGAGGACTACTTAAAAATGTGTCAACATCTAATATCTGATGAAGAACAATATTGCCTTTTAACAAATGGACATGTTTTTACTAAACAAAATATTAAATACTATAAAGATCTACTGAAAAAGTATAAATATTGTATTGAAAGTAGTCACTTAAATGCACTATTGGACTCATTAAAAGATTGTAAACCAAGAAATTTCTATGCTCTTCCAAAAATTCATAAGGAACAACAAACTGATTGGATTGTACCCTTTTCAATTCCAAAAGGCAGACCAGTAATTTCATGTTTAAATAGTGAAACTTATGAAATATCAAGATTTATTCACCATCTACTCTATCCAATAAGTAAACTTCATCCTTCTTTCATTGAAAATAGTACAGATATTTTACACCATCTTCAAGATTTAATAATACCAAATGATGCCCTTCTAATTACAATGGATATAAAAAGTATGTTCTCTATAATTGATACACATTCTGGATTAAATGCTATTGAATATTTCCTTGAGAAATATTCACCATTTGGAAAAGACAATCAGATATTCAAAGAATTTATAATCAATACTTTGAAATATAGCCTTCACAGAAATCACTTTCTATTCAATGGACAATTTTATTTGCAAAAACTTGGTTGTGCAATGGGTCAAAGTTATGCTCCTGCCTATGCAAATATTTGGATGGCTTGGATAGAAGAAACTATAATAGCCAACTTTCAACCATTTCCTTTTTTATACAAAAGATATTTAGATGACATTTTTATTATTTGGACAGATTCAAAAAAAGAATTTGATATATTCTATGCAAAGATCAACAATATAAAAAAGAATTTAAAATTTAAAGTTCAAATTGAAAAATCTAAAATTTCTTTTTTGGATTTGACATTCTTCAAAGGAACAAAATTTCTTCAAACTGGAAAACTTGACTATTCTATACACTTTAAAAATTGTGAAACATTCAATTTATTAAATAGAAATTCTCTACATCCTCCCTACACTTTTAAAGGAATTTTAAAAGCACAATTTCAAAGATTTTACATAAATAGCTCTTCTCCCTTCCTTTACAATTACACTTGTGAACTTGTAAAAAAATCTCTACAAAGACAAGGCTATTCCCATAAAGAAATTAAAACAGCAATAAAAAAAGTAAGAAGGACCAACTTAAAAATGACCAAAGTTAATTCTGTAATAATTCCAAAGGATAACCAAATATTTTCAACAATTCTCAAAGAAAGAATTTTAGATATTTCAGATAAGATTCTTATTGGAGATGGTAACAGAGTTGTTAGAAGAAGAAATACAATTGATTTGAATGATCAACAACATTCAGTTCTGTTCATTATTCACTGTAAAGAATGCCAGAAAAATATGATAGCCTATTTACAACCTGATTTTGGAAAGCACATCACCAATATACTATTAATGAACTTGACAAAGTTAAATAATGATTGTCTTTCAGAAAATTTACTTAATCATGATCATCTCTACAAAAATGTTAGAAAAAATATTCTACTCTTTCCATTGGAACAAATCAGAGATACTTCAATTTTATTAAATCATATTCAACAATTAGTCTACAAGGAGAATATAAAGAATATATTTTATCATCCTTTTGGACTTGCAAAATTTACTGTAAATCCTCCATTTAGAAAAATTCCTCTAATATTACCTTACAAAAAAAATCTTTCTCCTTTAATAAGTAAGATAAAAAAGAGATACCAAAAACTTCAAATGGAAAAACAAAAATTTCAAAAATACAACTTACTATTCTCCTACCAAACTAATAAAAATAATATAAGACAAAAGATACTTTATAGTAATTTTGATTTTTTGAAAAAACAGCAATGCCATAATATTGTATTTCAGAAACAACCAAATCAAAGTAATCAAGTTGAAAAACAGCCAGTAACACCTCTACCACCAATAAGGCATAGATCTTTCCTTCAACCAACAAAAAGATCAATACAGGCTACTGATGATATTCTTACCCCTGGACCATCTGGAATTCAAGATACAGTAAAAGATACCAC